TCTTCAACTTATGCTTTGGAACCACACTTTCGGCGGCAATCATTTTTTCAACCAAAGAACTTGAAATTTACCGCACTCTACACACTGCCAGACAATATGAAAGGCAAAAATATAAAATAAACAACTTAATGAAAAATCATGAAACAAATGGTAGCATGCCGTGCCAGCATTGATTCATACAAGTAAACCAAGGGCAAAACCAAGAACCTTGGAAGAAGTAAAAGCTAATCAAAACGCACCAGAGGATTCTCCTTTCCTATAGAAGAAATAGCATGGGTAATAGATGGATACCACAAACCAAAAAGACAAAAAAGGGGGAAACCCCCAAAACACTACGAAGCCAATTAATTTGTTCTTTTAGAGATAACTCGAAAAATCTTAGGACTGCGTTGGCCAACAAAGATCAAAACTTTGTAAAATAAAAGAATAATATCGAAATTCGAATTTGGTTAGGCATTGCAAAATCCCTAACGTATGTTAGGTCCAATCTAAATATACAATTCAGTAACTTAAACAAAAAATTTTTGCATAACCAAGGGAAAATGGGAACTAACGATGGATTCAAATTCAATTTAAGCCAACACCACAAATAAAAACATTACAAGATAATTAATCAGAAGTGCAATCATAACAAAAACCCGAATTCCCGATCATACATTCCCAAACCTCAATTCTCACCAAATCAAAGAGACCCGGAAGATTCAAACGCATGTACACAACAAAAGAAAATTAGGATTAAAAGAGAGATAATAAGAAGCGCAATCATTACAACACCCTAAGTCTCAATCATACTTCCCAAACCTCAATTCCCCAAATCAAAGAAACCCAGAGAGAATTCAAACCCATGGAGAAAAACAAAAAGCAAATAGCGGGTTTATCCAAACATACCGAAACTCAATCCAGCGAGCGGCGAACTAAGAACCGGTTGGGAGTGAGAGATCATTGAGAAAGCAAAATAAAAAAAAGCGGAGAGGGTGAGAGAATAGTTATGTTACAGGGTTTTATTATTTTATAATGGATGTCGGTGAAGAAATCCCTGATTTTGAAAGAAGGGACAAGTCGAATTGGGAATGAGATGTTAACGGGGAGATTTGAAAGGGAATGGGCTGACAGAAATTGAGCTTCAAACTGATGAACTAACCCAAGGAAAAAGAACCAAAGGGCTAAAACCGAATGATCTGAAGATTAGGCCTATGAGTCCAAACTCAATGGTGATTTGGAGACCATCTCAAGTACAAGCTGAGTTGAGCCCGATTTGGCCCGAGTCATTTTCTGTGTTTATAATATATGTATTATTTTATTTTAATATGTTATATAGTATATAATACTATAATATAAGTGTTGAAAATATATTAAATTGTTCGTTTTAAAATAACAAAAATATTTTAAATAAGAATATATTAAATGATCTCAGTGATAAAAGAGAGTGTTATTCTTTTCAGAAATTTTAAATTCGAGTAGTTGTATCTACATGTGTATATTTTCGATGATCAAGAAAGATTATGAACAAATCTCAAACTAAACCATATCTTAGGTGAAACTCTTCTCTTTAATCCCAAACTAAACCATATATTTTTTTTGCCTTAAAAAACCAACAAAATCCTAATGCCACAAGCTTATTTTGTTACCCTATGCACATTCCAAAGCATAGCCTAATTGCGTGGATGGCCTTATTAAATAGGCTACCTACTAGAGATCGGCTTCAAATCATGGGAATCACCACTAATGGAACTTGCGTTAATTACAGGAATAGCAACGAAACAAGGGATCATCTGTTTTCTCTTTGCCCCTTGACAGTTGATCTTTGGAGAGCTATCCTTCATTTGAACGGAATGAACTTCACCGTTCTGCCTTGGGATGATATGGTTTATCGAGCTTGTTTAAAATGAAAGGGGAAATCTCTTATTACCACTATCTTGAAAATTGCTTGGAATGCTTATGTTTACTCCTTGTGGCAAGAACGGAATCGAAGGATATTTCAAGGCAGATCCCGTTCCACTGATAATTTACTCAAGGAAATCATTGAAGTTGTTAGCATACGACTTAGAGGGAAATCTATTAACAGATTATATAGCACTAATTTCTTTCTATGTAATGCTTGGGGCATAGTTTAACCAATCATTGTTTTTTGTATCTTGTTTTGTTCTCTTGCTGATTGTTTGATTGGTTGGATGGTTGTTGAATTTTGTTCTTTGGATAATAAAATTTTGATTTATCAAAAAAAAAAAAACAGATACCGCCATTGATGCGTGTTTAAGTTGATGGGAGAATTAGGGTATGAAAAAAGTCCTAATCAAAACCTTCACGTTTAGGAAACACTTTGCAACACGTTTCTCTCTCTGTTTTTTCTTAACTTACTTTACTACACAAATCATTGGGTGCTTCATAGCTACGTTTTCCTGAAAACAAACTGCTTCCAATCTATACATGTGGGTAAATATGCATTTTGGTACTTGGATTTGGGTTTTTTTTTTTCCTTTTCAAATTGGTGCTTAACATTGTCTTTTTGGACCAAATTGATGCTTATGATAACTGACTTATTTGAATCAATTGGAACTATGAAGTCGAGTAAAAATATCATTTTGAAAGAAGAAAAACAGGTTCATATATTTGATTAGACAACACAAATTTATATACCAAATTAAATTCAGATACTAAATTGTATATTTATCATGTACATGTTGCATGAAGGTTTATTCTTGTGGAATTGAAAAAGCATCTTCTACGAATTTCTTTTGCTTTCCAATCTGAATATGTGTTTTTGATTATCTGTTTTTCTCTTTTTCTTAAAGATAGGTCAAATGGAAAAATGCTATATTTGTCTTTCTATTAAAAGAATAAATTATTACAATACATAACTAAGCATATAGAAATATTCAAATTTAGACCAAAATAGTTCCAAGAAATTAAAGATTTGGGGCATCAACTTTGCAACACAACGTGGTTTCATTGGCTGATCAAATGTTTGTTATACTATTTGGATATAAACTATACCAATATGGGTTGGTTCAAGGGGTAAGCAGCTTGATATCACTTAAGTAATGTCTCAAGTTCGAGTCTTTGTGTATGCAGAAAATCTCTGCTAGGAGATTTACCCAAGTCAAGTGTGCGACGCGGGTCGGTCCGAATTAGTTAAGGCGAATCCTTCGAACATAGGACAACTAAATAAAAATAAACTATAAATAGGTGATCAAATTATGATTTAATCCTTTTATTATGCTAAAATTTTGATTTCAGTCTTTATATTTTAATTTGGCATGATTTAATCTTTTCTATTTTTATAATTTTATTAGTTGCTCCGAGTAGTAACTACTCTGGTTAAATGTTGACATTGATTTTTCTTGCATACACCCTTCTTCTAACACAAAAAAAAAAGTCCATGTTAATAGGAATGAAGCTACGATCAAATTTCGAGAGGAATTAAATTATTAAACTTTAAACAAATATAGATCTATTTGCTATTTAATCATTATATTGGTTGATAATTACACGAAAAAGATTTAAATCATTACAAGTAGAATAAAATTCGAATCATTATGAACATAATAAAACATTATAAAAAAATATTAGAGAAGTTTAAAAATTACATGCAACTAATTTAGAAACAATCAGATAAGTTAAACACGTGCATGAACAGTAATTAAGAAAGAAAAGAAGCATGCAATTAGGTTATCATATTAATTAACGTGTAATTATATAGTTCATCTGATTTTGATTCTTTTGTATTTATAACACTATACTTTGATCCTTGTTTGATATTTTAATGATAACCTATATTGTGAATATGCATGAATGTGAGATAAAAGTACTGGGATTTCTTAACTCATCATTAGATCTATGGGGACCTGCAAACTTTAACAGAAAATTTTCAGCTTTACAGCAAATGAATATAAGGCATCTTTAATCTTTATTCCTTCCTAATGTTATCCCAAAATATTGTACTCGTAAACTTAAAGATAAGCGTGAGTAAGATGAATGTAAGGTAATATATGTTTGGAAAAAAAATTAATCTTTAAATAATAAATGTTTATACGTTCACATTCTATAATCATCGTGCTTGAACCCAAGATTTCAAATGATAAAAACAATCCTTTAGTTAACATGTAATTTTAAATCGATTCAGTTTATTATTTAAAAAGTTAATGTAAATAAGAAGACATATAGAATTATATATAACTTAAAAAAGGATTATAATTTTAAAAAAAATAGATTTAATTATATTTTAAGTTATCTTAATTTTGAAGTTAGACAAATTAAGTTTTATTTCTCTTATTTCTTTAGATTTAATTATTTTTTATGTTCTTTTAATTTCGAAACTAGGTGAATTAGATTATAATCCTTCATTTTTGGATACCATTGTTTTTAGGTCCTCTTAATTTTGAAACTAGACAAATTGAGTTTTGACTTATCATTCTTTCGGTATAAATACTTTTTAATTTTTTTCAATTTTAAAATAAATAAATTAGATCTTAATCTCTTCATTTTTAATTTTTAATTAGTGATTTAATAGGTAGACTATAACCATCTTTTATTATTATTATTGTTATTTATTCGTTGAATTTCATACTAATTTTGTCCTTGAATAAGAGTAAGATAGATTTTTCCCCTATTAATAAGTATAAAGTGGTTATGATAATTGATTATCTATTTTTTGGTCATGTTATAAGAAATATTTTTATATTTATTATACATATTTGTGTCAAGTCAGATCAAAATATCAGATTGAGTATAATTTTTTGTTTCAAAATTTAAATTGAATTTTGAGTCGAATATTTTAAAAAAAAAATTAAATCAAATAACATATAAAAAATTATTCTACTCAGTCCAAATTTAAATAAACTAAAAGTGTTACTCGATCAATAATCATGCTAGATGTATGTAATAATGTAACATCTATAAACGTACAAGTGTTTTCAAGACTACGTTTTCATGATAGAACATCGTAGATGCTAGAACGAATTATTGACTGATGCAGTACTAAATTTCATAACATCCGCCCCTTACATTTGTGATGAGTTCACAAAGATAATTATTCAACGTTAGAGAAACTGATGTTTAATTTTTTATTTTTTATTTTTTTTTAAAAAAAAACAAGTAACATAGATCTCATGAACTCCATTGCTGTCTTCGAGAGCAGGCAGTTATCATATCTGCTTTACCGTGTCTCTCTTCTCTCTCTCGATCAAAATAATCAGCTGTTCCTGTTGGGATCATGTCCCATTCCAAGGCAAACTCCAACTGTGTTTTTTCCCCCTTTAAAGTGGCGGTGCCGATGCCGGAATTTTGCAGAATTTAATCATTGCACGAAAACTTTAAATTTACCAGGAAAAAAAAGAGAGCAAAGAGAAACGTGTTGATTTTGTGTTACTGTAATTAATCCAATTCTCCTCTGCCACAATGAATAATTTAAGAATCAAAAGAGAAAATGGGAGAAAATGATTTGGTTATGGTTCCAAAAATCCAGTCATTCTAAGAATCAAATTCCGGACTTGACTCAAATCTCTTCCCTTAAGCGTCCTTCCATTGCCCGTACAAACGGAAAACGCCATCTTTCCGGCGATTCTCCTCCCCAAAATCACGTGCGGCGGCACTATTTCTCCTTCTTCTTCTTCGTCTTCCTCGAAATCTTCGCCGCAGTGGAAAACACTGCCGTAATGGTGACGTGGAATGTTAACGGGAAGCGAACCGGTAGCTACCTTCTTCTTCGTCGTCTCGGTGTTCTTCCTAAGTGAAACGCTGCCGTTTCTGGAGAATCCTGCTCGGTGATCGAAGTGGCCGCCGCCATCGTCGTCATCGTGTTCTCGATGATGTGTAGCGTGAATGTCGCTGGTGTAGTCGGGAAATATAACCTCAGACTCTTGGAATTCTTCAGCAGCCATGGCGAGATCTGATTGATTAGATTTTTGTAGTGTTTTTTTCCCTTGTAAATGAATGAAGAGATTGAATGGTTTTTGCAAACAAACAGCGAGGGAAAATGAAAGGAAAAGGAAGGGAATTTATAGGAGCAGCCCTAAATCGTACTAATTACTCTGTTGATTGTAATTTTCGTGTTGCTGCAGATGACGTCTGCAATCCCCACTCTTTTAATTTTTTTATTCAACAAATTTAATAACTATTTTATTATAAATTATTAGACATGATAATTGTTTTATAGTTTATAAAATTCAACTATAGAAACAACTTTTTGAGCACGACTGAACGATGTTATTATACTTTACCTCTATATTATTTGGATCTAATTACACTCTCTAAATCTATGTACTAATCGAATTATTTACTCTTAATTTCAAGGATATATATATTCTATAATAGTTTGATTTTAATAATTAAAATTCAATTTATAATGTCGTCAAAAGATTTTCATTAAATTGGATTGCACGTGATCAAAATAAAGTAACGTGGAAGTCACCAAAGGGACTGGTTCAAGTGGTAAGTAGATTGATATCACTTAAGTAAGGTGTTGAGTTTGAGTCCTTATTTGTTCAGAAAATCCATGTTGAGAGATTCATCCACTAAAATCATATGTGAGACGTGAATTGGTCTGGATTAATTAAGACAAAGTCTTAGAACTGGGAGAACAACAAAAAAGAAAATTAATGTGGAAGTCATGTAAGCAAATATATATATATCAATAAATAATCTTACAATTAATGTAATAAAATTATTAAATTAAGTAATGAAAAAACTTAAATTAATAATATTTATATTTTTACATACTGCTATTGTGTAATATTTAACTGATAATTTCAATAGTGAAAAGATCGGAGAAATTAAAACCATAATTAAACCTTCAATTTCTTATATATTTTTGTCTCGTTCGACCTAGTGATTGGATTGCAAATAAAAAATAAATCATGACAGAAATTAGTGAAAAATAAATCAAATATATATTTCTAAAGTACAGTAATAATAATATTTTTATTGTTTACTTTAATGTCATGAATACTTATTTATTTGGTTGATTAAATGATTTTGAACCTGGGCGCTGGCTTGTGTGTTTATTTCTGATTGTTTATGAGTCGGCCGCCAAAAAGGCTAAAACAACGCTGCTGTAATCTTTTTCTTGTGGCTCACGGTTACTAATTTATTGCTTATTTCCTTTACTAATTAGGCTTCGAATTTATTAATCGCACAATGTATTTAATTAAAAGACCCAAGGGAATTTATTTAATATTATAATAGCAGAAAATTTATAGTTTAGATTTTTTTTTATTCTGGATTAATATTAAATAATATGTGTTCGAAAGATTCTCAATCATTTGATAATGAATCCATATATTTTTATAGACATTATGTTCGAATATAAAACTTTAAAAGATAAAAATAATTCCTTAATTGCCGAGATACTTTATTAGTAAAACATAAAAGTTGTAGAGTAGAAGAAAAAAAATAGTATCACCCTTCTAATAAATGGAAAAAGGGTATGGTCACTAAATATACATCTAACCCAAAATTTTCTATTTACAATTTACAATTTTTCAAGTCTAATGATCGATCATCTAATATCAACTCATTCACGTATTATTTTATAATGCATCATTCTAAAAAATATAGTAATAGAACCTATCAAGTGGTTATAATAAATAAAAGATAATATTTATTTTTTTTAAATAATTTTAAAGAGTGTTTGTTTTCACTTTAAATCTTATTTTCTTTTCTGTTTAATTATTTTCTAGTTAATGCTAATGAATATTTTATAATATTATTATAAGCCTCATCATTAATATGATATAATTACATAAATAGATATACTTTCTATCACACCCTTTTTTAAACATAGTATCATCAAGACTTCTCATCTTAATAATTGGAATGAGAATGAGATTTTATTTTTTATTTTTTAAAAATAACTTGTTAAAATAAATACATTGAATTCAAAATTTTCTTAAAAAATAATTTAAAATATTTTTAGCTAAATTGATACATTTATCATAAACATCACTTAATCAAATTTACAAAAAAAAATTATGAGGTTTCAAAATAAAATTTTATCCTAATTATATTCTATTAATCAAAATGTTTAGTAAGAAATTACCAAACCATTAGGTTTCATTTATATCGATATATTTTATTTCACTACTTCCTTATAGAAGGTAAAAGATCCGATATTTATAAATTGATATATATATATATATATAATGTAATATCAAATTCTAAATAAATATTTATTTTAAAAAAACAAGACTCTTCAAATCCTATACCAAAATCTAATCTAAATCTAATAAAGGTTACCAAAAATACACATATTGGTTGCTCATTAGGACACAAAAATAGCAAAAACACTCCTTACATAGTGAACTCTGTCATTCCACATGAACCCACCGTACATATATTGGTTGGCCACTGAATTATCTGTTCGAAAAAATGTTACTGTAAACTTTTGTTTTTGACCGTATTGGTCAAAATATAAAACATCTGGATTGGTTATAATACCAACCCCTCCAGGTAAATTCCAACTAGCAATGTATGTAATATGACAGTAGCATTCCAAGTGTATGATAGAGATGATAAGAGAATTAAAACTCGAACTTCATCATCGAATTCAATTTTCACGGAACTCAACTGGGTTGTGATTGTGTTGAGTTCATTTAGATGTTGAGCCACTGATGCCCCTTCCGACATCCGCAAATTGAATAATCGTCTCATCAAATGAACTTTGTTTGAGACCGATGGCTTCTCATACATACTGGAGAGAGCCGCCATAAGACTTGCCGTTGTCTTTTCCTTTGCTATGTTGAAAGCAACATTGCGGGATAACGTCGGTCGGATAACTCCGAGGGCTTGTCTGTCGAGAAGAGTCTAGTCTTCATTCTTCATGCCCTCTGGTTGATTTCCTGAGAGAGGTTGATATAGATTTTTATGGTAAAAAAAATCTTCAATTTGTATCTTCCAAAAGCTAAAGTCCGCGCCATCGAACTTCTCAATTTTCACATTCCCTTCGTCTCCTTCGCTGCAGCCATCGCTTCCACTCGAATCTGGCTTATTTGGATCGTTTCAGACAATTTCTACGAACCGTCGTGTATTAGAACACCTCCGTCGACAAACTCGTATCGCCGACAAAATTTTTACTATTCACGAAATTCACTATTAATGTGAATAGTAATGAATAGTAACCTCGCAAAAACCGAAAAAAATTCAGCACCAAAAGCTCTTGATATCAGTTGTTGGGAAATAAAATAAAATAAATAAGTAATTTTCCTATAAACAGATTAGTAAGAATGCGAAATAAAAACCGAAAAATAATACCTGAAATTGATAACGGAGTTTAGCCAATTTTGTCTACGTCTCCGGACTGCTGCAGATATTTTACTAAAGAGAGAAATTTACAGGGGTTTACAAAACACTCAAGAAAACTCTTTAGTATAGGAAGAAAGAAATGATTTGGGATGATTTTGAAGCTAAATGGGTTAGGGTATTTATTAGTTGAAGCTTAAGGACTAATCTTGTAAATACCCCCTAAAGTATACAAGGATTAAAATGTAATTAACCCTATTACATTAAAAAAATAAAAAAAATTGGGGGTGCCTTTTGTTGAAAAACATCAGCCCCTACCCCCTTTGTTTGACTTTACACTTTGATCAGATGGAAGCTTTGTAGGAGACGATACCAGACTCCATGCTTCCAGAATATACAATCCTGGAGCGGTAATATCAGGCTGTCATAAAAGAAGAAGAAAAAATATCAGAAATCAAGTCAGATAATATATAAAGTTGATTATATATAAATAATTCTATTATTCACAGTTACTTTGAGAATATACGGATCAACATGGTTTGTACCACGACTAGAGAATGATGTCAGTGAGGCGCTTTGTCAGTTCGTGATTGAACCGGCATGATAGTTGCAGTTGGATACATTGTGGAATAAATGTATTGGAGAATTTGAATTGCGCCGTCATACATATCTTCAGTTGCGGGAACAAAATGAACATCATAAAATAGTTTAGTTTGATCAGACTCGGGATGAGCTAATATCATAGCGACGCCGCCGGCTTTACTCACTTCAATGCCTTTATCTATATTTACTCCACTTCCTGAGAAACAAAGCACAATCTTCCCATTCACCTTGGAAGGGTCAAGTGAACCTGCTAGACAATACCTAACGTAAAACAACAGTGGATCTTATTCAATATTACAAAACCAAAAACGAGAGAAGATGAAATATACTTACCCTGCAGAGTCTGTAGACACACCAGGGAGAGCTACAGCGCTTGCGTAAACTAATGGATACATGACATTCATTGTGTTTTGTGACATACTATATCCCTACAAAATAATTTAAAAAAATCATGAACTTATGATTTATGATAAATTATAATTTATGATCGGATTGGATCTTAAGGGAATTTCCACGCCGTTTCCGAGATAGACGGGTTAGTAAAATTGTCGATCGATGGAGCTAGCACCAACGATTATTATCCATGGCGCTACATTAGACAAAGTTGACGGATTAGGACCATTGTTCCCGGCACCGCATACGGTGACTATGTTGCGACTTAAAGCATGCAACGATCCGATAGCTATGACATCTTGGTCGAAAGAATTATGTTGGGGGAGGCCGATGGAGACGCTAAGTACGTCGACACCATCACCTATGGCTGCGTCAAAGGCCGCTAGGATATCCTCCGGTGTGCATGCGTTCCCTTCAGATTTTGGCTTACCAGGGATTGCCCAACAGGCCTTGCAAATGGCAATGCGTGCCAAAGGAGCACCTCCGGAGGCTGTACCCCTTGCAGCCCCTCCGATGCCAGAAGCATACTTGACTCGTCGGCCTGCAGCAATAGAGGCCGTGTGGGATCCATGGCCATTGGCATCTCGTGCCGAAATATAATCTTCCGACGAATTAATAATTGACATTTTCAAGACTAATGACTTGTGTCATGAATCGTGCACAATAACCCACATCAATATTAGGTTTAACCAGATAACTAGAATTAATTCAGTCTGGAATAATTTTGAAAACACGCTCTTGGAATGTGAACATTTCATGTGAATTATATGATTAAGTTTTTAGTTATATTAATATTTGTGGTAGGTGAAATTTAATTCTAACCATTGATATACTTTATTTTTAACCATTATATTAATAGAAATCAAATATAAATAAAGACCATTCTCATTTCGTTTGTATCATCCCATTCCTAAGTAATATAAGCAAATAATTTTAATCAAAACTCTCTTGTTCTCTTATTTATTATCTTTTCTTTGATTTTGATTCCACTCTTTGAATATGATAAATCTTTGAATTATTAATTGCCGGTCAAATATATTATGAATATTAACTATATATTAAACAAATTACTCAAAGTTTTCTATTAACCCTAAAATAAATCTAATAAAACTTATCAATTGTAAACATACCGGTGGCTCACTATAACACAAAAATAGCAAAAACACTTCGCACGTGATGAATTCCATCATGCCACACCATACACATATTAGCTGCTCATTAAGTCATTTGTTCGAAAATGTTACTGTAAACTTTTGTTTTTGTTCGATATAGTCAAAATACTAAACATTTGGATTAGCTACCCAGTATATAAATTCCAACTAGCGGTATATGTACTCTGACAATCATAAGACCAAATTTTATAGCTAAAATGCTCCAATCGGGATGTACTGCTTTGAAAAGTGTAACCACACAAGAAATATGAGGACAAGCCATGGAAGTTCCTCAAAACATATTAGTTTATTTTTTTTAGGGGTATGTATTATATTTAATTAGTCACATTGTACACGAATATAATTCAATTAGTCATTATAATGCATATGTTTTGTTCATGAAGAATAATATAAGTTCGTTGAATCGAAAAAATCTCTTTAAATTAATATATTATTAATTTATCGAGTAATTAATATATTTTTAAATTAATAAAATTACGTGGTCTGGATATTATTACTTTATAGAAGTTTTACTGTATATTTATGTATAATTGATTTAATATTTATTTCTCTATATTTTTCAATTAGGTCCCTAATTTACCTGACAAATATGATACATATATATATATGTCAAGTCAGATTAGACCGAGTCGAACACATACTTTTTTCCCTAAATCGGGTCGAATTTTGAGGTAGGTGGAGCTTCCCTAAATTCAAATAGAATGAAATGACGAGTGAAGAAATGCTATATTCGAATTAAATTCGGGCGGGAAGAAACCCAACTCATTATCATCCCTAATTAATTTTCTTAAACTTCTTATGAAGCCATATAATAGCAAAGAGATGTAGTTTCGACATTACATTAAATTTTATTTTCGGTACCGGTGCTTTTTTTTACGTTCACATAAATCCGGGCAAGGACTAGAGCTACTTTCCAGTAAAAATCAAAACAAAACTACTCCTATGTTAAAGCAACAATGCATGGAGATACAAATTTTTATTCCCCCTCCTTAATAAAACTAGAGGGTAAAGAAATCGCAGTGCAGAGTAGAAGCAGTATTAGTAGGACACCATTGTTAAACAATTCATCTCTCACCCCGACTTTTGCAAGAGCATCTGCCATTCCATTTCCTTTTGTGGGTGAGAAATCGAAATGGACAACATCCAGCTGTTGAATGTATCGATCAATGGACAATAACAATGCCATACGAGAGTCGGATTCAAGAACATTGATGGCCATCACTTCAGCCATTTCAGGCCGCACACGGAACGGAAAACAACGCTCCAACCACTCCCTTCAGCCGCGCCATGAACGTTAAATTTCATCCATCCCGTGGGGCAGGAGACCGGTGACTTTTTGTGGCTTCTACCGATCCTCTCCACGCACAGCATTTGACTGGATGAATTCACCAGATGATGTCCGCAAAATTAACACCATCATGTGCTGCTCTTATGAGTCTTACCCTAATCAACGCACACATTTTCGTGTAAAACTCCAGGGTTTTTGTTATTTTATTCATCTTCTGATATTTTTAAGAATGAAACAAATCAAATCAGGGGCTAAAAGTTGATTTATCCCTTTCATCATGATCCCTATTCTCTAGAACCAGGAAACATAAAACCTGCATTGATATATATGAGAAAATAGGACTTATACATATATATATATATATATCATAGAATGAGAGATGGGCTCCGTAATGCATGTTTTTAAACATATGGAACAAGTCTCCTTGTCTGAAAACAAACTTATCAGTCTTACACACACACTCTACATATCTTAAGACATGGCAGAAGAGTTCTACAGTCCTCCATTTAAGAAAAGTTAATTAATTTATTCCTGCCTTATATAGTAGCTTTTTTCATCTTAATATCTCAACTTCCCCGCCGCGATTACCACCACGTACACCCCGGCAACATTAGCTGCACACAGCGGTAGAAACTTTTTAGAGCTCAACCGTGGATGAAACATCAGCCAAAACGTACACAATGTTGTTTTTTTCTTGCAAAGATTCTTACACTAATTGAAGGGCTATCTGGTCATGTTGCTGAGGGTAATAATGTGAGGGTTGTAAAGCATCGACTTGAAAATAGTTCCGAGAGTCAAATTGTTGCAATTGAATCGCCTCGAAGGTATTCGATCCTCCTGGCATCGAGTTCATGTTCTGTTGCTTCTTTTCGTTCTCGGCTATCTGCAACATTCGACCAACGGTTTACCGATTCAAGTTCAGTTAATTGTTTGAAACAAATACCGTGTAATGTGAGATTCCGGACACATAAAAGAAAGAAGAGAGATCAGACCTTGGCTCGGAGAAGTTGGTTACTGTTATGCAAGTCAATCTCCTGCGATGGACATATTTATAATCACACATAGAGATCGAATATCCATATTCGTTATCAACAAAAGTAAAACAGATTCAGATAATAAATATTCGAATCCGAATCTTAATGTGTTGCAGATAGTACTTAGGTAACTCGAATATTATCCGAATCAGCAAGAAAACAAATGGGATATTCGCAAATATTCTTACCCTTTTCTGCATATACTCAACTTCTGCAAACAGCAGCTCATTCTGGTAGAATTTTAATGGGGGGAAATCAAATCATATTCAAAAGAATTCTTTGTAAATTACATGAATTATCATTCAGAGAAGAGATACCTTCTTGGAACGGATTCTACTTATTCCTCTTTCTAAACGACCCTCCAAGCTCTTAAGATCCTTCATAGGCAATCCCACCAGGGACTCACCCAGCATTTGCCTGGAATTATATATGCATATATTATTGTTAGAGAAGAAGATTGATAGAGAAGATCATAAATGGTGGAAAGTGAATGAAAATGATGGGAAATAACCTGTTTGTATTCTGCAGATTCCGAATATGGTTGCGGAGTTTTTCAGCTTCTTGCTGGTAATACTGTATTTGGGTATGCCAATTAAAAGGTTAAGGGCTTATTTGGATAAGATGTAAAGATGAAGGGCTTATTTGAGGGCTTATTTGAATATAATAAAGTTTAGGGGTCTTATTCAATAAAATAGAAAGAAATGAGGGTTTGAGTTTATCGTACCTGAGCATTAACTTCTGCAACTGACCCAGTATTGGAGGGATCACAAGCCTTCTTGTACCTGTCAATTGTTTCTTTGACACTGCAAACATTTGTGTTAATAAGTTCAATATGCAAACAAGGCAAATTCAATGCAGCACACTATGCGGAATTATCATATTTATAATCCTCTTTACTGTGTTCGAATTATAACGTTATTTCATAAATTTTACATAATTAGGAGAATATTGTTTTTCTTAAATGATATATGTTCGAAAAATTGTTGTATGTTTATATGTCATTAACAATTAATAAAAATTTTAAACAAATAGTATTTTATAATCACTTTAATTGTTCAATTTTTTTTCATAATTTATTATCAAATAATAAAAAATATATAAAAAATCATTAATGACAAGAAAGAAAACACCATCAATATATGCAGTTTTCTTTTTCTTCTTCTTCTTTTGTTGAATAATCCCCTTCTAAAGAGAGGAAAAGAGAAATTTTACCACTAATATCTGAGAGATTTTAACCAGTTGCTCTATAGATTGTTGACCAATATATACAGATTTCAAAAGTAACATCGATGTACGAAGGAAAAAAAATTATTATTGCTTTAGGGTTAAATTTTCAAAAATTCTTGTAGGGGAGAGATAAAATGTCATTCATTTCTCCTAGAAATGATCATGTGATGATGAGATGAATTTTTTGTTTTTACAATCTTGATTTAAATATCAAATATCTTTATCTAATCTAGATCCATCTTAAGCTCTGTGTTTTATTAATTCTAAACTTATCTTAAAATATGAGATTAAAATTCAATCTTGTTTCGATCTAATTTGAATAATTTAAAAAACATTTTTTTTAAAATTGTTAAACTAAAACTCATTTCATCACAATAATACAACACATAAATCAACAAATAATCAACAAAACGATAGTCGAATAAACAAAACTCAAATAAAGAAATATTAATTCAGCATTCTAATTTAATTAAGTAGTAATAACTATACTATTCTTAAACAGATAAAAACCAAACTCATCTGATAAACAATACCATACTAACTAAGATAGCCTAAAAGGAATATATCATCTTTTATCTCAAAGTAATGATTAAACAAGATGAACGTTATACCGTCATCATACCTATATGTACGCATTATTTAAAATAACAGCTAATTCATCTACAAGCCGAATAATAAAATATTTATATCAAATTCTCGATTAATATTAATTTTTAAAAAAGAATACTTGATTTAAACTCACGGTCAAATCAACCAACTTTCTGAGTTAACTTGAATCCAATACGAAACCTTTGAACCCAAAGCTGATACCTTAATTTCGTCGAGCCAGTGATTGGCTAAGCCTGCCATGCTGGCACTGTTTCGAGCATCATGATTGGCACAGACCTCTCCTATGGTCAAAACTCGTGCCGGTGTCAGAAACCATTACACGAAGGATAATACCCTATTCCGTACGTTATTTTAGTATTAACCACCTTGTTTTAGATAAATATCCAAATATGGTTTGAATAAAAATAATTGAAATACGGGTTGAAGTAAAAGCAAAACCCTAAAGAAGAATTTATTTATTTATTTGATAAAATATAATAAATAAATTCAGCTTCTGTCAGTGTCTGAAACAGTGGAGCAGCAGCAGCCATAGTTACAAGTTTTCACAGAAACAAGCCAAAACCTCAGAACTCTCCCATTGGCTCGCAGTTGCCGTACGTTGTCTCAGAGAAGACAACTCTGCTGACTCGCTTTTTCCCTATTTTTCTTGGTCTAATTATTCTTCCAGCCCCTGTCTCTTCAATATTTTTAAATATAGTCCATATACTTTTGATTATAGGAATTTCTCCCCTCCCTCGCACATTCAAGTTCATGACAAGTTCAAAGAGTACAAGGACTGGGGAAAATTAAACCATTTTTTAAGTCCCAAAACTTGCACGAATAAATCTAAGCAAAGATCTTTCACAAATGCAAAACGGGAAGCTAATGCCAACAGTGTTGACATTGTTGTGATGACTCGTTCAGCTAAATTTTCATTGGCTCAAACAACTCACTTTCCCTAACAAAGAGTATGAAAATGAGATCCAAGATGAAGAAAGAAAATTTTCATATATCCCAATGTGTTTTGCAATGACGAAAGAATATATATATAACCCATTTGTCAGTAATCAAGGAACTGAAAGAATCGTGTGGTGACGTGAAGAAAAGATTCTGTAACTAAGACAAACCACCAACCTAATGTTTACTGTAATTGGGTCCTCAAAACCCTAATGAGGTGAAATGATCACTTCATTTAAGGGTTACCCGTAAAAAGTATTAAAGGGGGAGTTGTTACCCTAATGTGGTTAATGAACAAAAACCCTAATTTGGGCATGTTTGACTGTGAACAAGGAGAATTCACGTGGTACCCGAGGTGGGGATTTAGAAAATATCTTGTAGGAAAAAAAACCCTAATCTTGATGTGACTGAATTGCGGCTTGATTTGTTTGTGATTGGTTGGAAAAAGGAGGTTTGTTTTTGAAAACCCAATTTGCAGTCCCATTAACTGTGTTTCATTGGTTTGAAATCAGAGCGATCGAAACATGACGGATCAAATTTGTGCTATATAGGCCCTTTAGCCCCATGGCTATGACAGAAGAAGGGAAAGCAAGCATAAGATTTAACAACAATGGAGTGTTCAATACACATATGTATGTATCTCTAATGCTTATCTATTGCACCAGATCTATGTATCCACCAAAGTGGGAACTCAAGAAAATATCATATATAAAAAGCAATATATATATGTAATATATAAAGCCCTAAAGATATATATGTAATATATAAAGCCCTAAAGCTTATACAAGTAAAAAGGACAAAATAGAAGCAAGAAAGACAACTGAATCTTAGTTTTAGAGAACTCAATCTAAGCTTTACACCAGAATATATAAAAATTATATAAAAATTTTCTACATAAAACTACTCATAAAATATCTGTTCCAAACCCCAAATCTTCACTAAGCTGTCACCAACATATATGTATGTATGTATATATATATGATAACGCTTTGAGAGATTGAGATCAAAGGGGTGGGGGAAATGTGTAAATAGTGGTGATACCTGTTATTAGCATACTCATAGAGGCGGCCACGGCTCGAGAAGACGATCAAAGCGACCTCGGCATCGCAGAGAACCGAGAGCTCGTAGGCCTTCTTCAGCAACCCGTTGCGCCGCTTGCAGAAGGTAACTTGACGGTTCGTCGTGTTTTCGATCCGCTTGATCTCGATCTTTCCCCTCCCCGTTTTCTTCTGGGAAGAGTCCTCGCGAGATTCATTGGGGTACACCATGATTCCAAACTGTATACACAGAAAACAATACGAACTGGTAATAAAATCATCATCTTAGTAACACTGTTGAAGTTTACAGGGAAAGAAGTATAAATATTCTTTGAAAAAAGTACATATAGAATTCAAGTTATATATATATATATATATATATATATAAAGAGAGGTAATGAAGAAACAGTGAATTTGGATTGAAACCCCAAGTGAGTGAAGCAATGAAAACTGATTAAAAGGATTGTGTTTCAGTTAATAGCCGATGACTAACCTTGAAAGGAAAGGAAAGGAAAGGAAAGGAAAAAAAAAAGAAAAGGCAAGCAAGTATGATAATTAAAGAGAGAAACAAGAAAAGAAGAAAAGGGTTTCTTGATGTGTTTTTTGTTTCTTTTAGCTGCAAATCTCTGACCAGAAGAGTGCAGAAAATGGAAGCAAGAAGGGTTGAGAGGTTTCTATTTATAAATGTAAGCAACCAGAAAACCTTCTGTTTATCATCATTTTGTATAACCAGCTAATTAATCTTCCCCTCTTTTTTAATTCTATTATATACCCCATTTTAAGTAGTGTTTGAATTTCGACCGTATTCGATAATCATACTAGTAGAGTCGGATCAAAATACTTCTACGAGGGAGGCTCCCTCAACATTATTTCTTCTGTCGATAGGATTTTAACTCGAACCTTATTCAAAGGAATGTCAAATTTCTTAGTATGGTGAATTATATTAAGGGTGAAGAATAAAAAAGAAAAGTTAAAGTTGGGAATCATCACTTGTATGGTTCAGACATCACTAACCATTAAACCCTTTTTTGCATTTTACTTTTTCATGTGAATGAAGGGATGGCATTACATTAGAGAGAGAGAGAGAGGGACTACTATTGGTGGTGAATGAGACGTTAGGCTAAGGCTCGGTTTGTTTATATGAGATTCTCTTCTTCCTTAAGAAAATTTGTCTTCTTAAATCGACTTTAGTTTTAAAATATATTCGAAATTTATTATTATTCCTTCTAACAATATCTTCATTAAAATTCACGGTTTTATAATCTAATACATATTCGAGATTTTTTATTGTCCCTTCAAACGGTATTGTGATTGTCTCTTAAATTTTTAATATAATTTACAAAGTTCGTAATCTCTATTATAAAATTTTGTATCCGTCCTTGAAATAAGTTGTAGTGAAATGATAAATGGCAATGGCAACAATCATTCAAGAGGAGTAGTCACTCTGCCATACTCACCTAGAAGCTTTATAGCTGAGCTACCATTTATAAATTACAAACTAAACCATTCACCATGGAACTGTGTTTCGCTTCATGTCTGGGGACACTAAATTTATGGCCTCCCCTTTGTTTTCTTGCCCACATTTGGCTCTTCTTTCCACTGTTGACTTTATGCACCATCTGTTCATGCTGTCCTTGTTTCTGCATTCTCCATTCTTCTCTCTCAGTTTTGGAATCAAAGTATGTGTATGTTGATGATCATGTAAGGAAAATAACAACCTTTGTAATGCATTCTTACATGCTATAAATAAATAAGATCAAGACATGTTCATTTGTTTTTAAGGTGTTCCATGTTTAGTTCTAATCATCAACATTGACGCAATGAAGAGGACTCCGGAACTTCGAGGTCCTAAGTTCGAGTGGCCTTTAAAAATAATAAATTCATCTATTGACAACGTACACACATGTTACTGGCTTAAGCTTTTCAGTTCTTCTTCCGTACCAGTAAAAGGTGTGTGCTTGAAGAAGAATCGATGTTTTGTAATACAGAATCAGCCGCATAATCATTATTGTAATATGATACCATAAAACTCACATTAATGGTCCACCGAAATTTCAGTAGGACTGCATTATGCACATCAGGCTGGATGCATGTGAGAAGCTTTTCCACAAGTTTGAGTGCAGTTTCCATTCATGGCTTGGAGACTCAACCTTCTGATTTCCAAAACAGAAAGCAGTAATTATCAGTTGGCTCCCATTGGTCGGTTATCTCTTTGTGGGTCACAGCAAGCAAACTTTTACCCGCTTCAGAGTCTCCATAAAGTGAGGACCACAGCACAACCATCCATGGCTGCCATCTATATATGGCCCCTTTTCTCACTTGGCTTCACCACTATTGTTGGTAATCGATTTAATCGCTCTAATCAGATCGAGTTAACATCAATCGGTTTGGTCAGTTAAGTCGTTTAACATAGTTTTATATTAAAGTTTAGTTAAGTTGATCGATTCGATTATGCAATAAAGCGAACAATTTATATGTTACTTGATTAATGTACCATCCTTATTAGAGGCCCATAACCTTAATGTTCAATGATTAAGTGATGTTGATATTTCCTTATCTAAGATTCGAATCTTATTTTCTTATAATTATAAAAATCCTTATTGAAGTAGGTATTCAAAGGTTTATCTTCGATCAATTATTTTAACCTGAAAAAACCTACAGTCGAATAAAAATAATAAAATAATAAATTTTAATCGTTTGATTAATAAATTTTGCATGCTTTACTCATTTTTTTTACTTTAGGGTAAAATCAAAGGGAAGCGAAGAAGAAAGAAGGAAGGGCAAAATTAAAATGTTGCCAATATAAACTAAATATTCCGTGTGCAATATCATTGCGAGGACCACAAATTATGCTACATTTGGAATTGAATGATTTTGAATAAATTTTCCCGAGAAAGTGAATTCTGTCAATGCAAATACCTAATCCCCATTAATGCAACTCTATGTCTAGCCAAGTCTCCATCTCACCTTCTTTCTTATTATTTATTCCATTGATGAATGTTCTTTAAAGCTATTCTCATGGATCACAATGTTAAGAAAAATCAATAGTTCAATACAATTCGATACAACAATTTAGTTGTACGAACAAAACTACTTCAGTGGTTAAGTGATTGTTGTTATCCATTAAGGTCTCATATTCGACCATAGCGTTTGCAGGAGTGTGTGAGAGTCGATTGTGAAATGATTGAATCTTTCGAACAAATATTATCTTATAAATATATCAGACAAATTAAAAAAGATACCAAAAAACAAGTTTAGCAAAATATCATGATGGTCTTTAACGAAAATGACGGTGATGAATATATATACATATGAACAATTATATTAAAAAAGCTTCATCTTAAAGGTAAAAAATTATTGTGAATATTATTCTCATTGTAAAAGAGAATATTGTTCTTTTATAGATCTTAAGTCAGTTACGTCTGCAAAGCATATGTTATCAATTAATTAAATTTTTTTAAATAAATATTATTTTATAATCAGTTAATACTATTAAAAAGACTTATGTGAACGATATTAGATCCCATAATATTTAGAAATGTAGTCAATCATGTGCTTCCTACCTTTAATAAATGATCCGTTGGCTTATTCATTCTTTTCTAGATTTAATCCAACATTTCCATCAATTATCTTTCTTACCTTCTTTTATTTGGCTTCTTTCTATTATTATTTTCTCGTCAAACTAATCGTGTATTTAATGTTATCGTTTTTAATATTATTCTCAATGAAATGGTGAAATTCTTTTATTAAAATGATTTCACCATTGACTGCAAACAGTGCGTATTCAAATAAAGGTTTAATTTATAATATGCATCGGGTTAAAAATATTTTGTTGTTTAATTAAATAGTTATTTTAGTTTATATATACTTTTAGAACATTTTGATTTTTAATATTTTTATGATTAAGTAAATTAACATATAGTTGGATGAAAATAATTAATTAACTACCAGTCAAGAATTGTCACTATTGTGACAAGTCTTGTATGTACAAAGTATAGATATGAGATTGTCGCATGTATGTAAATAACGACATGACACATGCTTCAGGATAACATTACACATATCACATGTACATAAGTGATGATATGACAAATTTCACATCATTACTTTAGATATATCACATCATTACTTTTTAACGTGACATTTGCCATATCATCACTTATATACACATTGTATATATCACGTCATTACTTTGGTTGTGTGGCATGTGTCATCCCTTATGTACATGTGATAGTCTCACATAAGTACTTATACACATGGTATTTGTCACATCATCGACATTTTCACTCAATCATGAGATATTTTGTCCTAAAATGTAATGTTTAGGCCCATAGTGCATAAAAAATAATAGAGATCAAAGAGACTATTTTATCAAATGTTGGGATTAAATTTTAACGTTATACTTTTATAATTTGACCCCTGAATCATATTTGTTTACACATGTTGGTTCTTGAACTTTCTTTTGATCTTGAGTTAAAAAAGTTGTTCGAAGTAAAATAGACATAAATAATAGCTCAAGTGTCAAAGTGAGTCAATAAAATTATATATTAAGAAAGGAAAACGAGTATAATTTAGGTTTCTAATGTAGGATTAATTTTATTAAAAATATGTTCAATAAATAACAAAAGACTCATGTTGAAATGATAAAATCCAATAAAGGTGTATTATGTTAAACGTGCTTGTCGTTTTTGACCGGTTATCACACATGAGAATGTGTCTCACATAAAATGGTTATTTGACATTTACTTTTGACAAGATACACCTTCATCTTACATAACATAAAAGGATACAATTTTTATAAATAATATTGAAAAATAATGTAATCATAAATTTAAAAATTAAAAATAATATATTTAAACAGTAAACCCCCATATTCCTAGTTGAAAGTAACATGCAAATGCAATCAATTTGAATTTATTTTTGTATTATCATTATGAGTTAGCAAAGTAAGTTGATATATATGACAGTGATGGCATTGGCAATTTGCCAATTGGCTCTAACCAATTATGTAGTATAAAGATCCCACAATGTAGGGTCCTACATTGAATCAAAGTTGTGGCCTCTAAGGGCATGTTAGAGGGCAATTCCCAATGTAGAAACTGTGCTCCCAAGCTTTATGAAATTGTCTTGGAAAAGTCCCAGAAGGTATTCAATAATATGAAAGGTATGTTAGGCTTACTATTTTCTTTCAATTATTATATATTAGAATTTAATGTCAATGAATCAGCAAAGGAGCAATGTCTGGCTGGGGTTTCAGTTCAACTTTAACGGGGGGGGGGGGGATATACAACTTCATTCAGCCATTCAGCAAGGTACCCACCCCACTGTTTCAGTGCTGAAAAAAACATTAAATAAATTAAACTTTTTAGAGAGACAAAATAATTAAACTCTCGAATTTCTTTTAATCGAATTTGACCGTTAAATCTTAATAGTTTTTTCTAATATATTATTTTTGCGTAAGATGCTACGATTCTTTCGTATAAAATTTATTGATCTTTTAAAGAAAAAGTATATAAAAAATATTAAAATTCGGAGAAAAAAACTTTATTAAAGTTTTATAAATTTCTGAAAATGTATCGTGACACTACTGTGATACGATACATAACATCGATTGATCCAAAAAGTCATTGAATTTAATGATCAACATCAGATAAAGAAGTGATCTGATAAAATATACAAACTTAATTAAATGAAAACATTTTAAAAAATTTATTGATTATTTTTTAGTTTAAGGGTTTTATACACCTTAAATCTATGCATTTTTTTTTAGCATTTCATGAATAGATTTTGTGAAAGAGTTGAAGATGACTTTTGCATCGAAAGATGATGTGGGGAACTAATTTTCTAAAGCAATCTTAAAGAAGTTTGGTGAAACTCATTAATTAATAGTTCTAATTAAAAATGAGTACATATTATAAGAATTGCGTTGGCATATAATGTGGTACGTTAGGTATATATATTGAATAGTTTAAAGTGATTAGATGATAGTGATTGCTTAAATCTTCTTAACTTATTGACAATGCATATACATTATGCAGATACCATTGATAAATATTAATATTAATACTAAATTATTATTATTATTATTATTACTATGTATACAACACTGCACCTTGTTGCTAAATAAAAACATCAATATGATAACGATGGGATTTCAAGAACCATTAATTTCATCAAACATACTCATTTCAACCATTAATAATCATAATAAATATTATTGTAGGAATAATTATTTAATATTAAATAATATATATTTTTTTAAAATTTTATAGATACTATTAAAAGTCATTCATGTTATTAATAAGGCGATATATTAAAATAAGTACCTAAATTATACTTCTTTTCTTATTTAGGTGTTTATTTTTTTTTGTCAATTTAGGTGTTTAATGTTTCTAATGTTATCATTTAGGTGTCTATGTCGTAACGGCCGTTGAAAAATTCGTTAAAAATAAGTCAACCAATCAATATTTAACACTTGACTTGAACTTTTATTTTTTTTTAATTTTTTTAAAAAATAGAATTCATATATTTTCAAAAAGAAAAAAACTCAAAATTTTTCTTTTTTTCCATAAAATGTCCCAAAACTTTCAATTTCAACACCAACCACCACCGCCATTGTGGCGATCATTAACTCACCCGTCGAATACCAGCCCACTGACCACTTCCGACCACTCATCCACATATTGGGATGGATGGGTGTTGGAATTTAGGGATTTGAGTTTAGAAATTGTGGGAGTTTAAAGCCATGATTAAAGGTGGAGATAGGTGGGTAAGAGGCGGACGGTGGATAAGCCGTCGGTAGGGACGACAATGGCGGTGGACGATCGAAAGGTGAGATAAATGATTTTAGGATTAAAGATTTTGAGAATTTTTTTAGATTTTAATTTTTAATAATAAACAATTTTTAATTTTTAAAAATAAAATTTTAAAAATTTATAAAGATATCATTTTGAGTGGTTGACGAAATTTTTTTAACATCTGTTACAATCGATACACTTAAATAATAACATTAAAAACGTTAAACACCTAAATTGACCAAAAATATTTAATCCCTTAAATAAAAAAGTATGTACAATTTGGACATTTTTTATATATCAAATCTATTAATAATATTAATTTAATTTATGTCATGTCAATATTTAAATATACGTAAAAATATTAGATTAGTATTAGATTAATATTATTAATATTATTAATGGATTAACCATTTTTATTTAATATGTTATATCTATAACTTTTAGTAATCTTTGATAATACAAGCACTCTACAAATACAAATATTCAAACCTAAAAATTTTAAGATAAAACAAAACTCCCTTCGATCAAAACGTGAAATTTTTTATTAAAAACAACTGAAAATTGCCCAAGAAAAAAAGGAAAGAGATCAAACCGTCGTATAATCGACATATTTCCCGATGGAATCCCAAAGCTCCGACGAAGAGGATCAGTTATTCGATGCACTCGACGACTTCCCCTTTTACGATTGCCTTACCTGTGATCAATCAGAGCCTTCCACGTCTCACTTACCCTCTACTCTCTGCAGAAGAACCTTCTCTCGCCGGGAAATCACCGGCAAGGAACCCATTGAATCCCTTCCAGAAGCTTCCACTCTCGAAGACCACTCCAGGACCAGGTCCAGTTCTAGAGAGCCAAGATACAATATTTTCTTCGATTTGAAGCCAAATGAAAGCATTTTGGCGGTAACTGAGTCATCTCGGGATGGAGTTAGCTCCATCCGCGTATCGGAGGAGAACAACAGCGTCGAATCAACGATCACCATTGCTGAAAATGTGGAATCAGTTGACCAAGCCCGCAATAATTGCGCCGACTCGAGCGCTGAGTTCAGCGAGTCACTAAATTCTAATTCCAGTTTGCTAATGTTTATAGTTGGTTTTGTGATAAAGGCAATCGGGTTCCAGTTAAATTTGCTGATTAGCTCCGTTACATTACCTATATCATTTTTAAGTCACGGCTGCATGTTTATAATTGATCCTTTTCAAGCTTTCAATCATGGTAGAGCTTATGTAATCACAAAGTTGTTAAATTTATGGGATTCGATTTGTGGGTATTTTAGCCCTATGATGAATGACTGCATAAACTATCATAAATAAATATGGAACCTCGTGTTTCGATTCTGCTGGGGAATGTTCTTTGCTACATATGTTGGCTGTGTTTTATTTGGTTCAATGTTAACTTCACTTGCTAGCAGTGAGGTTCTGATGAGGTATTTGGTGGAGAAACCATTGGAGATAAAGGAAATGTTGAACTTCGATTGTACTAAGACTAGTCCCGTTGCATTTGTTCCGATTGTATCTTGTGCTGCCATCGGCTGTGATTCGAAATGTAGGGAGAAGATAGATGTTTGGAAGAATGTGGGTCCCCGAGTTATATCAATGGATCACAAATTGAAGGTTACTGTTTCTTTGACATTGCCAGAGTCAGAGTACAACAAAAAACTTGGGATGTTCCAGGTATTTGTTTGATTTACGGAATGCAGAGGTTGCTATTATTTTCATGTTAATTTCCTTATTCATTTATGGTTTGCATTTTATATCTAGAAACCGAATTTATGGTTCTGATTGTTGTTCAAGTATGGTTACATTCTGTACCTTTTCTACTCATCATATAACATGTTAAATGAAGTAACTTGACATAGGGAGTTAGTGAATTGTCTTGTTGTGGCACTCGGAGTGTCTGTCGACCTTAACAATCCGGCATTTTTTCCCCACAGGTTATTTACCTCTTGAGTAGGTGGAAAGTGTATAGCCAGTATTTTTGCAGGAAATTATAGTTATTGCTAAATTCAGGGGATTTTGTAGTATTCTGCTTCTTATGCTAGAATGCCTGATAGGTTAGTGGCAGCCTAATACCATAAGTTGGGTGACTTTTTGGAGATCAATCAATTTGCGTACTAGCAGCATGACCTTAGAGTTTTCTAATAATTGCCACTTCTCTCCATCACTTATATTTTCTGGTGTATTACATTCTCATGAACATTTCTATCCTGTATGTCAGTTTGTATTAATAATGTAATACATTGATCGAGCTTGATGTTAATTTGGCTGAAACCCAAGTCTAGAAAAAGGCTACTGAAATTTTCTAACAAGGAAAGATGGTCGTTTTATAGAGGGCAGCTTCTTCGCGGCTTCTTCGTGAGTAGTGGATTTCATTATCAGTAAATTAACCCATGAGTTTTACTTGTAAACAAATCGGTAGTTGATGACTTGTAACGTTTTTCTTTTTGAAGGTGAGGGTAGATTTCCTATCTGTTAATGGTGAAACTCTTGCCAGCGCAAGCCATCCATGCATGTTGAAATTCAGGAGTGAGCCTATCTGCCTTTTACTGACATTCTTCAAGGTTGCTCCTCTAATCACCAGCTATACTTCAGAAGCACAGACTTTGAATTCGAAGATTAGAGGTTTAAATGAAGGAATCGTGCCTACCGATTGCCTAAGAGTAGTACTTGAACAATGAGCAGAGTTCAGACCGGCTGCCGGTATTCCTGGATTATACGATGCATCCCTCATACTTAACTCAGAACTTCCTTCTATCAAAAGAATCATATGGTATTGGAGGAGAACTATTTTCGTATGGGTCAGCGTTGCATTGTTTACGACACAGGTATTGTTTACTTTAGTTTGTTGTAGACCTTTACTCATTCTAAGAACACGGACGAGGGATGGTTCTGCTAGGAGCACGTCTACACGGAATAATCAACAAATACTGCAGAGCACTTTATTTTTTTCAACCCTTTTGTGCATGAAACTCAAACCACTTTGTAGTAGCTGAAGGGAAGTAAAATGAAGATTTTGCCTAGTTTTAGTTGCCATGTTATTTCCTAGGCTTATCATGTACAAGATCTCACTTGTGTTCCGTGTTTACAAATTCTGTCTCGTCATTCTAATGACTAAATCTCTTACAATCTCAAATATCACTTGAAATTAATTTGTTCGATACCGATGCATATGAACAGATTATTTGATTGATTGATGGTAGATTTTTCATGCCATGCAGGAATCATGTGCTTGTTGAACAAAAAGGCTCCTCAGTTTGAACAACCTTTCCAAGGCGGCGCATACCGTGAAATGCATATGGAACATGTGATCCCAGCTATACATAGTTTTGATTTACACAAAAATAAAACAAAAGCATAAACCACCTTTGTTTTTTTAGGGTTTCAAGTAAAATTTTAACCACAATTACGTGAACTCTTGAGGAAAGAAGCACTCTTGGTTATCTCCCGCAATGGCTTGTCAGTGTACCTCACCATGTTATAAACCCAAGCACCCGAGACGGCCCCGAGTGTTGGTGCGGTCAGATATATCCATATCCCTCTGTAATGGTTCGACACAATTGCAGGTCCCAAGCTCCTTGCTGGGTTCATTGATGCTCCTGTAATTGGCCTGTCCAGCCAGTATCTCAAAACATCAGGCATAAAATTGAGATGACTGAAAAATGGTTTAATTACATCAGGAGTCATCAAACTATTGAATTAGATGCTAAATTAGTTCCTTCTAATCAATCTTTCCGTCAAGGAAATATTAGATATAGCCTAAGTAGGTTAAGGTAAAAGTACCCAGCAAACATCACATTAAGCAGCACAGTGGCGCCAACTGCAAGTCCGGCAAGCTCTCCAATCTGTACATAAATAAATGCGGTTTTTAATCGGTAATATTGTCAAGCCCGTTTATGAGATTTTAGTGGCTCGGACCGAATTTAAAAATTAGGCCTCTAATAATAAGTATCGAAAAAATTAAATTGTAAGAGCAAGAAAAAATAAATAATTTTGTTTGTAAATAATTTTTTAGTATGTTTAATAAACTATCTAATAAATACATAGTTATCTCAGACATTTTCGGGACATGAGCGAAACTAAATGATAGACTCTTATAAAATAAAAGTATATTCTAATACTTAGAATAATTAATTTAATATTACGTTAATAAATTATATAAAAATGATTAAATTAGGAGCTTAAACTATAAAAGTAAAAAGTATGATTGAAAAAATTAGGGACCCTAATTATAAAGGTAAAAAGTGATATTAGAAAAATATGGGCATCAATTTTAAAGGTAAAAAGTGAGATTGAAAAAAATTAGGGTCTAAATTATATGAGTAAAAAATGGGATTGAAAAAATTAGGGACCTCAATTATAAAGGTAAAAAGTGAGATTGAAAAAGTAGGAGTTTAATTTTAAAGGTACAAGGTGGGATTGAAAAACTTAGGATATCAATAATAAATGTAAAAAAAAATGGGATTGAAAAAAAATTAAGGACCTCCATTATAAAGATAAAAAGTAGGATTACAAAAATTAGGGACCTCAATTATAAAGATAAAAAATTAAAATTAAAGGGTTAACTTATAAAATAAACAATATTATAAAAAAAATTAAGAACAACATACAAAATGAGGGGCATGAAGAGATGCTCAAGGTGCACCCCTAATAGCCAAAAAAAAAAAGAAATATAATTTTAACGAAAAGCAAAAAATAATTTATAAATATCATATCAATATCGTTCTTGATTTTTTATTGATGGATAACCAACAAAATTAAAATATAACATGAAGTATAATTTAAAAAATAGTAATTGGATAACTAAAACAAATATAAAATAATAGATGAGTGACTAAATAAATAAATTATTATTTTTAAATTATATATGAATTTTATAATTTTGGACCCGCGTAACCCTTTGCCCATGCGTAAGGCCCTACTTATAAATTAAGTAGTAATAACTATACTAACTAAGATAGCCTAAAAGGAATATATCATACTATACTAATTTAATTAAGTAGTAATAACTATACTATTCTTAAACAGATAAAAACCAAACTCATCTGATAAACAATACCATACTAACTAAGATAGCCTAAAAGGAATATATCATCTTTTATCTCAAAGTAATGATTAAACAAGATGAACGTTATACCGTCATCATACCTATATGTACGCATTATTTAAAAATAACAGCTAATTCATCTACAAGCCGAATAATAAAATATTTATATCAAATTCTCGATTAATATTAATTTTTAAAAAAGAATACTTGATTTAAACTCACGGTCAAATCAACCAACTTTCTGAGTTAAATTGAATCCAATACGAAACCTTTGAACCAAAAGCTGATACCTTAATTTCGTCGAGCCAGTGATTGGCTAAGCCTGCCATGCTGGCACTGTTTCGAGCATCATGATTGGCACAGACCTCTCCTATGGTCAAAACTCGTGCCGGGTGTCAGAAACCCATTACACGAAGGATAATACCCTATTCCGTACGTTATTTTAGTTATTAACCACCTTGTTTTAGATAAATATATCCAAATATGGTTTGAATAAAAATATTTGAAATACGGGTTGAAGTAAAAGCAAAACCCTAAAGAAGAATTTATTTATTTATTTGATAAAATATAATAAATAAATTCAGCTTCTGTCAGTGTCTGAAACAGTGGAGCAGCAGCAGCCATAGTTACAAGTTTTCACAGAAACAAGCCAAAACCTCAGAACTCTCCCATTGGCTCGCAGTTGCCGTACGTTGTCTCAAAGAAGACAACTCTGCTGACTCGCTTTTTCCCTATTTTTCTTGGTCTAATTATTCTTCCAGCCCCTGTCTCTTCAATCTTTTTAAATATAGTCCATATACTTTTGATTATAGGAATTTCTCCCCTCCCTCGCACATTCAAGTTCATGACAAGTTCAAAGAGTACAAGGACTGGGGAAAATTAAACCATTTTTTAAGTCCCAAAACTTGCACGAATAAATCTAAGCAAAGATCTTTCACAAATGCAAAACGGGAAGCTAATGCCAACAGTGTTGACATTGTTGTGATGACTCGTTCAGCTAAATTTTCATTGGCTCAAACAACTCACTTTCCCTAACAAAAGTATGAGAATGAGATCCAAGATGAAGAAAGAAAATTTTCATATATATCCCAATGTGTTTTGCAATGACGAAAGAATATATATATAACCCATTTGTCAGTAATCAAGGAACTGAAAGAATCGTGTGGTGACGTGAAGAAAAGATTCTGTAACTAAGACAAACCACCAACCTAATGTTTACTGTAATTGGGTCCTCAAAACCCTAATGAGGTGAAATGATCACTTCATTTAAGGGTTACCCGTAAAAAGTATTAAAGGGGGAGTTGTTACCCTAATGTGGTTAATGAACAAAAACCCTAATTTGGGCATGTTTGACTGTGAACAAGGAGAATTCACGTGGTACCCGAGGTGGGGATTTAGAAAATATCTTGTAGGAAAAAAAACCCTAACCTTGATGTGACTGAATTGCGGCTTGATTTGTTTGTGATTGGTTGGAAAAAGGAGGTTTTGTTTTTGAAAACCCCAATTTGCCGTCCCATTAACTGTGTTTCATTGGTTTGAAAATCCGAGCGGATCGAAACCTGACGGATCAAATTTGTGCTATATAGGCCCTTTAGCCCCATGGCTATGACAGAAGAAGGGAAAGCAAGCATAAGATTTAACAACAATGGAGTGTTCAATACACATATGTATGTATCTATAATGCTTATCTATTGCACCAGATCTATGTATCCACCAAAGTGGGAACTCAAGAAAATATCATATATAAAAAGCAATATATATATGTAATATATAAAGCCCTAAAGCTTATACAAGTAAAAAGGACAAAATAGAAGCAAGAAAGACAACTGAATCTTAGTTTTAGAGAACTCAATCTAAGCTTTACACCAGAATATATAAAAATTATATAATAATTTTCTACATAAAACTACTCATAAAATATCTGTTCCAAACCCCAAATCTTCACTAAGCTGTCACGAACATATATGTATGTATGTATGTATATATATGATAACGCTTTGAGAGATTGAGATCAAAGGGGTGGGGGAAATGTGTAAATAGTGGTGATACCTGTTATTAGCATACTCATAGAGGCGGCCACGGCTCGAGAAGACGATCAAAGCGACCTCGGCATCGCAGAGAACCGAGAGCTCGTAGGCCTTCTTCAGCAACCCGTTGCGCCGCTTGCAGAAGGTAACTTGACGGTTCGTCGTGTTTTCGATCCGCTTGATCTCGATCTTTCCCCTCCCCGTTTTCTTCTGGGAAGAGTCCTCGCGAGATTCATTGGGGTACACCATGATTCCAAACTGTATACACAGAAAACAAAACGAACTGGTAATAAAATCATCATCTTAGTAACACTGTTGAAGTTTACAGGGAAAGAAGTATAAATATTCTTTGAAAAAAGTACATATAGAATTCAAGTTATATATATATATATATATGATTAAAGAGAGGTAATGAAGAAACAGTGAATTTGGATTGAAACCCCAAGTGAGTGAAGCAATGAAAACTGATTAAAAGGATTGTGTTTCAGTTAATAGCCGATGACTAACCTTGAAAGGAAAGGAAAGGAAAGGAAAAAAAAGAAAAGGCAAGCAAGTATGATAATTAAAGAGAGAAACAAGAAAAGAAGAAAAGGGTTTCTTGATGTGTTTTTTGTTTCTTTTAGCTGCAAATCTCTGACCAGAAGAGTGCAGAAAATGGAAGCAAGAAGGGGTTGAGAGGTTTCTATTTATAAATGTAAGCAACCAGAAAACCTTCTGTTTATCATCATTTTGTATAACCAGCTAATTAATCTTCCCCTCTTTTTTAATTCTATTATATACCCCATTTTAAGTAGTGTTTGAATTTCGACCGTATTCGATAATCATACTAGTAGAGTCGGATCAAAATACTTCTACGAGGGAGGCTCCCTCAACATTATTTCTTCTGTCGATAGGATTTTAACTCGAAACCTTATTCAAAGGAATGTCAAATTTCTTAGTATGGTGAATTATATTAAGGGTGAAGAATAAAAAAGAAAAGTTAAAGTTGGGAATCATCACTTGTATGGTTCAGACATCACTAACCATTAAACCCTTTTTTGCATTTTACTTTTTCATGTGAATGAAGGGATGGCATTACATTAGAGAGAGAGAGGGGGGACTACTATTGGTGGTGAATGAGACGTTAGGCTAAGGCTCGGTTTGTTTATATGAGATTCTCTTCTTCCCGAAGAAAAATTGTCTTCTTAAATCGACTTTAGTTTTAAAATATATTCAAAATTTATTATTATTCCTTCTAACAATATCTTCATTAAAATTCACGGTTTTATAATCTAATACATATTCGAGATTTTTTATTGTTCCTTCAAACGGTATTGTGATTGTCTCTTAAATTTTTAATATAATTTACAAAGTTCGTAATCTTTAACATAAAATTTTGTATCAGTCCTCGAAATAAGTTGTAGTGAAATGATAAATGGCAATGGTAACAATCATTCAAGAGGAGTAGTCACTCTGCCATACTCACCTAGAAGCTTTATAGCTGAGCTACCATTTATAAATTACAAACTAAACCATTCACCATGGAACTGTGTTTCGCTTCATGTCTGGGGACACTAAATTTATGGCCTCCCCTTTGTTTTCTTGCCCACATTTGGCTCTTCTTTCCACTGTTGACTTTATGCACCATCTGTTCATGCTGTCCTTGTTTCTGCGTTCTCCATTCTTCTCTCTCAGTTTTGGAATCAAAGTATGTGTATGTTGATGATCATGTAAGGAAAATAACAACCTTTGTAATGCATTCTTACATGCTATAAATAAATAAGATCAAGAC